CACCAGCGGGGCTGGAATCGTAGAAAAACTGCTCACTTTCTCCTTGAATAAAATGTTATATCTGATTTTTCCTTTCAAATCCTCTCAAAAACGCAGGAAATGCAATTTCAGAAGGTTCCATTCTCAAGGTCGTTCAACCTTTTTTCCGGGGGGAGCTTCCGGTGTTCTATGCAAGGTATTTTTTACCTCATGTGTGTGGACAAGTTGACCCTATGTCCAAGGAGCTGCCCTAGAAATAGCAGTAGATAGACTGAGCAAGGTCAGCATGTGCCCCCATGCTGACCTTGCTGTCTTCACCTTGTCACTAAGGCTTGTGCAAGCAATCGCCCAAATAAACAGATGGACGGATAAATATTTGTATAGTGTCATGTTTACCGTGGTATGGTGCGCATGAATCTAGTTTATGCACACTGCTCCCAATTGCGAAGAAATGCTTTAATTACAACTCGTGTTGCTTTTGCCTTTAAAAGCGAACAAACATAAGAAGTCATAATACACAAGGTCAAACAACATTATGTACTTTAGAACAGGTATTAGTGACACTGGCTGGTGACACCTCACACATGGCCGGTTAGACGTCCTGTAGGACGTTGACCTAAAAGGTCAACACAACAAGGTGGCTACAGTGGCTGTCTGTGCCTACTACACAGAGATTGAGTACAGTTCTGTTTAAGGCACGGACAGACCCCTTTGACGTTGTGAAACATGGAAACAGACGAGGACGGGAGGACTGTGACGTATACAGTTGTATCAGCAGATCGTGCTGGTAGCGGCGGCGCCGTGTTGTGGAAGGTGGCTACGGGAGTGTTGTTGCTGGTGTGTATCGCCCTCGCCGTGGCGCTGGGCGTGGTGGTGGCGGGGGACGTGAAGCCGTGCGGGGCTGGCATGGCGGCGGTGACCGTGGTGGAGGGGCCCCCGGGAGTGTTCGACGATCTCACGGCGGCAGAGATCAAGGCTGCTCGGGACTACCTGTTGGGCGTGACGCCCCTGGGCATCAAGCCGATAGGAGAGGCGACTTTTTACGACAACTACATCTACGTCGTCGGTACGCCATGTTTTTTTGTTTACCCTCGCCAAGAAGGTATTTTTTTCTGTGGCGTTGTATGTGTGTGTCTTGGAATGTGGTACAGATACACTGTGGTACAGATAATAGGCCTAATGAAAAGACCTCGAAATGAGGGTCCTCTGTCGGCTGGTTATGATACTGCAGCGGAACATTCGGTGTTGATATCTCGTTACGTGAACAAACTAGGGTCACGGATTTTGGGCGGTACATAGGTTTTGTGCTCCGGAAGAAGTGACGTAGGCGTGATTTGAGGCTCCTGGCAGCTTGTTCTGGAACTGCAGGGGTGTTTGTTCAAAAATTTTTCCAAGGAGGATAACGCAAGACCAGGTTGACAGATTGTTGTGATTTTTGGTATGTTGGTAGCTTATAAGTGACGCTTTACGCAATTAGATGCTTATCGATCTGATGCAAATAAAGATATAATTTGCATAATTAATGAGGATATTCTATAAATCTTCTGATTTCCATGATATTACTATTCCAGCTTGTGACATGTGTCATTGATAGAAACATCGGCAGATATTGAAGTGGAGGTCATGAGAACTTGTTGAGATCTCGTTAGCTTTGCAGTTCAGGACCTAGCAGGGGACACTTAGCTGGGAAACATTGCCACTTTTTCCTACAAATCTTAATCTTTGACCGTTCCAGAGCTACACCTTCCACCCAAGGCCGAGGCTCTATCCTACCTGGACAGTAACGGTCCCCGGCCGGAGAGACAGGCCTTAGTGACGGTGTACGGTGGCGGCAGGACGCAGCCCGTGGTGGAACAGTACGTGGTCGGGCCCCTGCCCAACCCCACCCGCCACACGGCCCACACACCGGCCGGGAGGAAGAACCCCATCCCGTGGCACAGCCGAAATCCCGGCGGCATAGAACGGTCGTTGATGAACGAGGCGATGAGCCAGGCAACACGGCAGATGGACGACATTCTGGCGGTATGATTCAAGTTTAAACTTTCGATCAAAGAAAATCAACTGAAGGCTCATTTAAAATATTCATCTGACCCTTTAGCTTTCGTCAGGTGTCATGACCCAATCACTTCTGTCACGCGAGTTTCCGTAGATTTGATATTAATTTTATAATTATTATTATTATTATTATTATTATTATTATTATTATTATTATAATTATTATTATTATTATTATTATTATTATTATTATTATTATTATTATTATTATTATTATTATTATTATTATTATTATTATTATTATTATTATTATTATTATTATTATTATTATTATTATTATTATTATTATTATTATTATTATTATTATTATTATTTATTTATATATATATATATTATTTTTTTTTTTTTTATCTTTGGTCACAAATTGATTGAACCAAACTCAGTGTGCAGATTTGTACAAGGTTATCACGTTGTGTTGTGTCAGCTAAAATGGCTTCCTGACCCACAGGAAAGTTTTGACGGGTTCAGACACAACGACTGTGGCGAGCTCTGTCTGTTACCCCTCGACTCAGTACCCCGAGGCTTCAGGAGTGGTGAGAGGATGACATGGCAACGCTTCCATAGGGGTGTGGAGGGGTTTTTCCTGCACCCGCTTCCCTGTGCAATAGAGGTTAGTAAACCGGTTTATTGTCTTGGTCTCAAATAAATCTGCTGCTGTAAGCATTATGACACAGGAGCCAAGAAATATATGTCTTTTTGGGAGGTAAAGAAAGAAAATTTTGTAAGTTAAGGACAATGGAGTGGTGTGGTCAACAAGTGGTATGCAGTGTTATAAGGGGTTGCAAAGTTACGAAATAAAAATGTCAGAATTTCGCTCATGGGCAAACATTCAGATGCCTCCATATCTAGATTTATTCAGAATACAGTCATTGAATTACATGTACATACTTCGGCATTTGTTTTTTTTTTAGTTGTTTTTTTACAAATTTGCTTTAAAATGTGATGGACCAGTATGAGTGTAATTTCCGTAAGTTACAAATTTTCTTTGCTAATGATTATGTATTTATTTACATTTCCTTGTTTTGGTTTTTATCACCTGTGCAGCTAAACCACACAGACATGGACCATACTCGATGGCAGGTGATCCAAGTTGAATATAACAATCAGTATTTTCCATCAGTCGCTGACTTTGTTCAAAGATACAACGACGGAAGCGTGGAGAAAGTCCGTGTTCCCGCCCCAACCGGGGACGCCGCTCTGTACTCGTCCTCCCGCCGCCACGGATCCCCCGCACACCCGTCTGAGCCTCTGCGGGGCCCGGAGCTGATCGAGCCCGACGGCAGGCGGTACAAGGTGACGGGGCGCCACATCGAGTACATGGGCTGGAGTTTCGACTGGCGGCTCGCCACGACGAGCGGCCCGCACCTCTTCGACGTGCGCATGAACGGGGAGCGGATCCTGTACGAACTGGCCATGAAGGAGATCGCCACCTGGTACTCCGGATCGGACCCCGTCATGACATCCAAGTTCGTCGACGGCGGGCTGCCAGTCGGCGGAAACTTCGAGCTCGCCCGAGGCATCGACTGCCCGACCACGGCGACCTTCTTCGACACGGTTCACATGATGGACAAGGCCGGCCCCGTGCTGTATAAAAACTCAGTCTGCGTGTTCGAACTGAACACCGGGATACCTCTCCGCCGACATTACGAGTCCAACTATTACGACGGGCACTCCTTCTACGGAGGACTGGTGGACAACGCCTTGGTCCTACGCACCATCCAGACAGTGGGTAACTACGACCTCCTGTACGACTTTATCTTCCACCAGAACGGAGTGCTGGAAGTTAAGGCGACTCTGAACGGCTATGTGCGGGTTACCTACTATCACCCTAACCAAGCTCCATACGGGTACCCCGCATGGGGCGGTTCCATGGCAAATCTTCATCAACATTTCTTCAACTACAAAGTGGACCTTGACGTCGGAGGAACTGTAAACAGGTGCGTTACAATGTGGCCAATGAAAAATTCTCTATGATGTTCATGTAGTTAGTTGGACGTCAATTGCATTTGAGTGCCTATAGCAAATGACATTTATGTGGACTGGAAGTTGTAAAAAACTGAAATTCGGAATAATACTGGCAATTTGTATGATGATAAAAACGTTTACGTAACATTCCCATCGTGCAACAGGTTTGAGACGGTGGACATCACGGTGGATAACGTCACCCTCCCCTTCCGGCCGGACGTACGTCACTTCCTGACACGGCTAGAGCGTAGCCAGAAAACAAGAGAGGCAGAAGCCACTGTCCAGTACGACTTTACAAAGCCTAAGTACTACAACTTCTACAGCGACAATCACAAGAATAGGTTAGTGGAAACTAAATTTACATACTTCTGCCCCAATCCGACTGTTCCTGTGAGCGTTTGCGCATTATTCGTGTCTGCTATCATAATGGTAGCTATGGCATCGGCTTATATGACAAGTTATGTATAAGCTAGAAAGGCAACATTTGCAAAGCAAATGCATAACGTTTACCTTCGTATATGGTCTAGATCTGCTGTGTTAATTCTAACTCAAACACATTCATATATATATGGTGACAGGAGTCTAAATCCCTCCTGCTATAAAATTGCAACAAGATGCAGCCCAACACTAGTCACCATGGTGAGAGACGTCTGGTTCAGGTCATTGACCTTATCTGTTTGTTTGGTTCGGTAAACATATTTTCCTTGGGTAAACATAAATACGGTTCGTATCGCAGTACAAATTCTTGTTTTCCGTAGGTTTGACGTCCACCGCGGGTACCGCATCCAGCTGAACGGGATCAGCAAGAATCTTCTCCCAAAGGACGGCGCGACTGCTGTGAACGGCGCGGCGTGGATGGACTACCAGGTGGCCGTCACCCGTCGGAAGGACTCCGAGCCCAGCAGCTCCTCCATCTTCAACCAGAACGACCTGTACGACCCCGTGGTCAACTTCCAGTCCTTCATAGACGACAACGAGAACATCGTGGACGAGGACCTGGTGGCGTGGGTCACCCTGGCGGCGCACCACGTCCCCCACTCCGAGGACTTCCCCACCACCGCCACGGCAGGCAACCAGCTGCAGTTCTTCATCCGACCCTTCCACTTCTACGACGAGGACCCGTCCATAGCGTCGCCCAACGCCGTGTGGATAGGACGAGGTCCCGGCTCGTCCCAGAATTACGTGGACAGGTACGGCACACCCGAGGTCTCCACGTGCGAGCCCAAACACATACCCATGAACTATGACGGGAGGTGGCATTACGCATAATGAAGGATTGTGTTTACTAATAGATTGCCAATTACGCTCTCATATACTAAGTACTTAGCACAGGTTATAGCACAAGAGAAATGTACAACGTCACCAATGCGTTTGAATACTCGTTATATTATGTACACAATGAATGAAAGTTGATTGCATGCAAAAATGTGGTAATTAGATATGATAGCTTTTTTTATCATTTACGCGGCATGGCAACAATCATCATTTGTTTTGAATGGATATGCAATTGTATGTTCTAATGTGTTCCAAAGAACAGAAGATTCACAAGGCTTCTGTCATTGGTTTTTCACATTTGTGTTTTTCAATAAACCGTTGATATTTTATTACCTCCATATCAGTTGCGTTTGTCCGTCCGGCCGTCTGTTAGTCAACAAAATAACTCAAGAACGGCTGGATGGATATGGTTTCATACTTGGTGTGTTGGTAGGGCGAGGCGAAAACTGGAAATTATTAGATTTTGGGCCCCTGGTGGCCAATAAAAGGAAGACATCCTAAAACAGGCCAAACCTCTGCTTGGAGAGTATGCAACTGGCACGCAAGAATTCTCTGTACACCGATCATGTCAATCCATTACCCTGTCCAGCCAATGACAATATGGGAAATTATAGTTCGACCAATGAGAGAGCGGCTGCAACCACGAGTCCAACCAATTATCAGACCAACCAATCACAACATGGCAGTTATAGATCCACCAATGAGAGAGCGGCTTCTCACCTGCGTAGCTGGGATGTACCAACGGCTGGTAGGAGGGGGGGGGCTACATGTTATAAAGTGATTATATATCGAGACAGAACAACAAATACACTGCACATTCAAAAACTTTCTCCTCAAGAAAACGTTTGCAAACTGCGCAAGAATTCCTTGAGGATTTTGAAGGAGGCACTTACCCTTTCTTAAGTACCCCTCCAGAAGAAAATGTAACAGTCCAAGCATCAAGCATCAACCGTGGAGGTTTGTATTCAAATAGGAAATTCCGTTTGTGAAGATGAGCCAGCACAGACTAACCGCGCACGACCAGCACAGACTAACCACGTACGGACCAGCGTCTACAAGCGTCAAAGAGATTATTTTTGTATAATCACAAGGCACACCAAAAACTTAGCTAGTCGTCGATGTTCGAGAGGAGCACTTATGATTGTATTGTGGTGGAGAGGACAAGCTTAAGCCAGACCGCCCAGCTGAGATGCCAGAGGTGAGCCATGTGGGGACTGCATGCTGTACTAACATGTGCTTTTTCTCCCTTGACAAAATTTGGGGGTACCTACAAACTCGCGTAGCACTCACGTTGGGTTAGGGCCAAACCATAATTAACCTGTCCTTCCTTTACTCCGGCAACTTATGCCATTTTATGTTTTTTTGTCCCATACTAGGGAGGGAATAGCCTGGTTACCGGACTAATATTATCTCCAGAGACTCTTTATCCTCTCGAAAAATAGGTCTGGTAACCAGGCTATGGGAAACCGGGGTCCTTCCGAAAGGTTTTTTTTCTCTTCTTTTTAGTTTGACTTTGTATACAGATCCTGAAGTTCATCGTTGGAAGCAGATCGTGGTCTTTACCATCCAAAGTCCTTGCTGTGAGGCTCAGTCTTCATTCGAGGAAGGAAGCAAGCTTCGACGAAGACTACAAGACCAGATGAGATTTTTCTTTCTTCCCGTTAAATGTAGCGAGTAAGGGTGGGCGACGTTGAAAGACTTTACGCCAGAGTTTATACTACATACCTTGTCTGGTGTGAACAGTTTAGTAGCACCCAGAAACAGGGTACGAGGGAGGGAGTAGGGAGGGGGGATGGAGCGAATTTGTTAGTAACTTCTCTGTTTTGCCTTTCCAGTAGACCCCACCTCTTTACGTTGCCAGAGGGACCATGAAGGAAGCCAGCAGAACTTCATAGGCCAAAATAAATGTCTTCAACTGATATTCTTTCAGTCGAAGTGCCAGCCAGCTGCGTTAGCGATCTAGGTAAGTTGGAAGGGAGGCAGCTTTGTATTACATAACAAATGCTTTGAATTTTCATGTTTGAATTGGTTTGATTTATTGTTACGTTGCCAGAAGGATCATGAAGGAAGCCAGCAGAACTTCATAGGCCAAAATAAATGTCTTCAACTCATATTCTTTCAGTCCAAGTGCCAGCCTGCCACATCAGCCAGCTGCGTTAGCGATCTAGGTAAGTTGGAAGGGAGGCAGCTTTATATTAGATAACAAATGTTTTGAAGGTGTCAATTTTCATGTTTGAATTGGTTTCATTTATTAAAATTGTAACAGTATACTACACGTGGAGCACAGGCAGCTGTTGCTGGTGTTGTGTCCCACACATAGAATATTACAAACGTATACAAAAGTATAACTAGATCTGGTGCTTACCAATAAAAGTAGAATAACATTATGATACATCTAATCTTCCGTTACGTCTCAGATCCTTCCACATTCCTGTATATTTCTTCCACCTCAAACAGCTGGCTCCAAAACACTTTCCCTTTGCACACAGACGCGCCCCATGATAGCAGAAGATGGTACTGCAGCGCACCACGGGTTCTGGCTGAATCTGACCTGGAAGGATGAACTGGAGTGGGGACTGAGGGTCTCATTCATTTGTACCAGACGTCTCCTGAAGGAAGCAAGCTTCAAGAAGACGACTAGACCAGATAAGGCTTTTCTCTTTTTCCCCCTCGTCAAATATGAAGAATCAGGGGAAAAGAGTTTGGAGTGCATTGGCGTATATTTAGTTAAGCATTTGCGCATTTGCGATTTTGACCTTCATTTTCTCATTTAAGATTTGCATTTGCGGATTCTGACCATTTTTCTATTTGGATTTTCGTACTTGGACCTTAATTTTTCCCATTTCGGATATGCATTTGCGGATTTTGGCCATTTTCCCATTTGGATTTGCGTACTTGGACCTTCATTTTTCCCATTTCGGATTTGAATTTGCGGACTTTGACCTTCATTTTCCCATTTGGATTTGCATTTGCGGATTTTGACCTCCATTTTTCTCATTTAAGATTTGCATTTGCGGATTTTGACCATTTTCCCATTTGGATTTGCATACTTGGACCTTCATTTTTCCCATTTCGGATTTGGATTTGCGGACTTTGACCTTCATTTTCCCATTTGGATTTGCATTTTTGCGGATTTTGACCATTTCCATTTGGATTTGCATTTGCGGATTTTGACCTCCTTTTTCTCATTTAAGATTTGCATTTGCGGATTTTGACCATTTTCCCATTTGGATTTGCGTACTTGGATCTTCATTTTTCCCATTTCGGATTTGGATTTGCGGACTTTGACCTTCATTTTCCCATTTGGATTTGCATTTGCGGATTTTGACCTTCATTTTTCTCATTTAAGATTTGCATTTGCGGATTTCCTTCCACATTTGCGTATTTAGATTTGCTTCTTTACACCCCATTTTGAACGGATGCAAGTCGTGTTTGGATTCTTTCGTGCCAGCATTTTGAAACTGCACTTTCTGGGATCGTCTGAACCGGAAGAACTGCCAGCTGGGTGAGTTGTTAGTTTCTTTACTTCCAGACATCCAGAAACAAGGTGTAAGGGTGTAAATGAGGCTAACATTGTCCACCGGTTAATGTTGCTCGGTGGACCGTGAGGAAAGTCAAATAAGATGACAAAAGAAACTGATATCCTGAACATTGATAACTGATACTGAAATATTCCAGCCAGGCCATTTGCTTGGACATGGACTAATTCTAATTGGCACTCAGTTTTGGTAACCTTGACACTCATCCTGACATGCCCACCAACAGCTTCTGCACGTTACGTTGAATTTTCAGGCCTTGTGTGCACTTGGCTCAAATTCCATTTTACATCTTAAAAAAGCAACAAAATTCAGTGTTATAAATAAGAAATATAAAATTGTCCTTTTCTGGAAATAGGAAATCGGTCAAAACCTGAACTGCTTTATGAGCCAAATTGTTTGTGAGCCAAGTGATAAAATAGACTTGAAACATTCCTGTTCAGTTGGTTCTTATGTGCATGGAGAAGGTTGGTGGTTGTGAGCAGGATGACGTCCCAAATTTCCTCAGCAGTGGAGGTACACCTTGACGTGGTGCTGGGGCTTTTGCTAAGATGCCTCCCACAAAACCAAGTAAAGATAACACGTTAAGCTTCTAAATTGTTCCGACCGTGGGTAACCTCTTGTCTTTAATACAGTAACCACCGTTGCCGCAACATGCAACCCTCTATGTAGCACCTGTGAAGTCTTTCGCGTTCCTATCAAACAATCTAGTACTTGTGAACCAATTAAGCGACATAGGTATCAGAGCAGACACTCGACAAGCACCCCTAGTTGCTCATTAAGAGTCACGACTCGCCCATCAGCGTTCGTAAGTTTTACCAGCTGCCTCCTACACAAGACAGCACATATCCTGCCATCAAGAAACACCTGGCAAGGCCTCGTGATATCTGGGGATAATGATTGTCTGTACATGTTGCCTGACAACCAAATACTTTCAATACCTCGGTGCCTCTAGCAACCGCTGTTTGTATCGGTCGAAATTTGAACGTTGTTCGGTACCTTCGGTCTTTCGTTATTGTAGTCGCCGTGCCGTCTGTACCTGTATCGGTATTGCCTGTATAACCGCTCTTCGGCCTAACACGCCAGCTTCGCAGGCACGCGGCGCCGCGGCATCTAGCTATATCACACCGAACGACTTGTTACACTCAATCTTTGCACATCTAAATATTGCAGGAGTTGTTTAAAGCTTTCTAGTGATGATACCCCAACTGTGCTTGGAAAATATGAGTTTTTGAACGCCTCAATTCTTGGTTGATAACTCTGATACTTGAAGGCACGAGTATTCTTGTTCTGATCTGGACTGGTATACCATACAGATACACAGAACTTTTTAAAACGTTCATTTCCAATTATCTTTATTTTCTCTGTGCGTCGTTAGCAGTACATATCAGTACGTACAAATCCATTACATTCTCAGAAACAAAAAAATCTTGAAGTGAATGTTTGTAGGTAGTGAGAACATAGATACAGGAACGACAGAGTTTTAAGGACACTGAAGGTAGTGCTATGCACAATGGTTCATCTTCTTCATAGATAAGGCCACACCGATTTGATTTTATGGATGACATCCGCGCGCGCATTGATTTTCGCCTGTTCTCAAAAAAAAAAAAAAGAGCACGTCCACCGAGGCTCTGGCCTAGCTCTAGGCCTGGGTAGTCCATGATAGTTACCGACAATACGGAGCCGGTGGTAACTCTGGAGGATGGCACCCAGGCTACCGAAGATCCACGACTCAAGAACTCAGTACATACGTACAGTGCCGATTCCGCAAAATGCCAGCATGTGCCGGCTTGTCGTATACGTCGCTAGTGTACTGCCGTAAATTCACAATAACAGCTTTGTATTCCTGTGGTTAAGTAGCATTTTTATTTTTTGCCGGAATTTTTTTTTATTCGCCCGCGCGCACTAGTTTGGGGGTCTTCAGAGGATGTCATCCATAAAATTAAGTCGGTGTGGCCTAAGAAGTAAACGAAAGGTTAACTAAAGATAACCAGAGCATTGTAGTTCATTAAGTAGAACTTCAGGTCACTATTGCTTGTTCCAATGCTAAACGTAGGACTGAATTGGTGCACGGACATTACAACAATTAAACTCAGCGTTAATAATGTCGCAAACACGCTGAAGTTACGAATACAAACATATTAAGATATCAGAAATGTATTCTTGGGTGGTACATACACAACAATGTTAAGAACAGTGTATAATGTTTCATGGAGACAACATCTAACAAACAAACAAACAAACAACTCTATGGCTTTCTCCCTCCCATTTCGTCTGTAGTGCGACGACGTAGACTCGCCCTGGCAGGGCATGTTGTTCGTAGTAACGAACCAGCTGGTAGACTAGTACAGTGGCTTCCTACAGGGAGACGTAGAGTGGGACGACCATATACTACACTTTTGTCAATGTTAGAGAGAGACGCTGGTCTCGCAGGGACTGCTCTAGTGTCCGCTATGAGGGACAGGGTGTATTGGAGTAACTTTATCAAGTGTACCTCACCGGATTAAATCCGGAGGCATGATGATGATGATGAAATGCATTCTAGGATACGTATAAGTTTATTGTCAAGCACATGGACAAAGAGAAAATCAAGGCAACAAACTGAGAACATACAAAACATTCAAAGTACTATACGACAGAGAACCATATTTAGACATTCCAAATTTTGAAAACCGCAGAGCCATGTGTAAACTCCGTATTAGCGACACCCTCTACACATAGAATCTGGCAGGCATGGCCGTACAACGTTGCAAGATAGAATATGCAAATTCTGTAATAATTCTTGTATTGAAGATGAATCGCATTTCATGCTTGACTGTATATTATATGATAACGAACGTAAATCACTGTTCAGTTCAACTAAGCTCGACAAAAAATGTAAAACATTATCAAAAGAAGACACTTTTAAATATATCATATCATGTACAAATATAGACGTCATCAATGAAGTATGTAAGTATATTTCAAAATGTTTCAAAAAGAGAGAAGAAGCCATTAGAACTTAGATATATACCACTTTATATATATATATTTCTTCTTTAGCATTGTATACCTTAGACTGATGTTAGCCTTTCTATATTACTATTGTTATAGTACATTCTAGTACATTGTACTCTGTACATCTGTGCATTTATCCCCCGGGGAATGAATATGCAATAAAGTTTCAAAGTTAAAGCTTCATTCAAAGTTGAAAATACAGTTCTTTGTCAGTGTTTGTAAAGCCGGATAGTTTTCAGTTCCACCTGGCCCTTTTCGATGTCGTTAACAGCGTTGTTAGTTGCATGTCCTTCCTGTCCGGACGTTCTAAGTGTGGAGTTGCGCAGCGGTGATTGGTTAGTGTGGGACACGAAGAACCCCATGCTGAAGAGGCAGCGCATGAACGTCAGAGCCTCCGCCACCCCGACGGCAGTCAGGAGCTTCTGGTGCGACCAGCCGTAGGTGACAGCCTTGAAACTCGCCAGGGTCGGGAGGAGATAGGACGGCGTAATGCACGCGAAGAAGAACAGGACGACGCAGAAGAGGATGGTCGCCTTGGTCTTGGACTTCCTGGACATCTTGCCGCGGACGGCCGGCTGGCAGCTCGGGAACCGGCGGCCCCAGATCTTCTTCAGCACCAGCAGACTGCAGGCCAGGGACAGGGAGGGAGGGGGACCGCGCACTGGGTCAGCAGCATGGCCGTGGAGTAGATCTGAAAAGTAGCACGATAGGATGAGTAAAAAGACTCTTTTACTCAGCCGACGTTTCGGTGACCTTCTGTCACTTTCCTCAGGGCAATTCTATTAATGACAAATGTATGAAAGTAAATCTTATGGATGACATCGTCCGCAGACTCCAAATCTAATGCGAGCGGGCAAAAACAAAACAAGGCGGGCAAAAAAAAAGATTTCTATTTTTAAATATTGATCATAAACCTTGTTAAACCAGATTTTTTTAAAATTCAGTGGCAACATCACATACAATGACATACAATACTGCAACAAAGTAAAAGTAAAGGACAAAACATTAAATCAAAGCCTTGTCTTGTCTCCTCTCTTCCCATTTATCTGTCATCCAAGTTCCGGTATGGCAACAGACATATTTACCCATTTTTGGCATGTTGTCCACTGTCAGGGGACAACAAAATTTCTTGTTACTCCGTGAAGGAGGTCAGGACCTCCGGACGGAGTGTTGTGATCGGCTGATTTTTCGTGTTCGCAGTCAAAACACTGGGTTCTCTTTGTGTAATCGGCACGCAATTTTATACGGCGTCTGCGGGCATGCCCGTGTTGATGCACGAATGTGTATTTTTGCCGTTGCTGCTTTCGCGGTCAATGTAATATTGCAGACGCACCCCTACAATTACGAGGCGAATTGGAATGGTCCAGAAAAACGCGTTGTTTGGAATAGCAGTGGGGGGGGTGGAACTTCATGCAGATACGGGGTGGTTTTGATAAGTGGTTCCAGATGTTTTTGCCCATGCTTAAGAGATGCCAAGTTTTTTGGAAGATGTTCGCAGCCAAAACGCATTCTTACGTACGTCGCATTTCTGTGTAATTTCGCATGTGGTGTGGCATTATGTCCGGGATGATGCACGTCTTTTTATTTTTACCGTAGCTGTTTTGATATTGAAGTAAATGCATATTTTAGAAACATCCCTACTTTTACAATCCTGTGGAATAGGCCGTAGGTTTAGGCAGTTGTCTGGTAGCAGAGGTACTCCAAGCAGATGTCCTGGTTATCTGGCCGGCGGTAGTAACACTCGCGGTGCTTACCGCAACTGTTGCTGGAATCTGTTCCAGGCGCGCTTAATTAGGTACAGGCGCGGTATTAAAGACGGTTGGGGCTGTCTTTGTTGCTAGACACGGCCATGATAGTCCGATCTTTATGTGAGGGTCTGCATGCCCTTTTTCGTTAACCGTTATGGGCTATTTTAATTTACCGTTAATCGTTGCCGGCCTGCTCTAATTCAACGTTAAGCGTTATCAGTATATTCCTCGTGAAGCGTTATGGGTCGTTTTAATTCAACGTAAAACGTTATTTGTCATCCTAAATTCAGCGTTAAGCGTTAATGAATAATTCTTCGTTACGCCTAATTTCGCCTTTCAAAGTGCAGGAAAATGCGTCATTGAAGGTTTAAAAATACAAAATTTCCCGGGGGAGAATGCCCCCAGACCCCCTACATTGCTCGCGCCTTTGGCGCTCGACTCGCGCTTCTGCGCTCGGTCCCTTCGGCTCTAGCCAGAACCAGTTTTCCCTTCAATTTCCGGAAGTTTGCGGAGAGTTACAGAATTTTTTTAACGAATCCGTCAACCTTGACAGCCAAATTAACAAAAATCTTTAGTAAAATATGAAAACATCAGAAGGCCGACAAACACTCTCAACACCATGATTTGCCTCTCAAAATGCGGGAAATTGCGTTTTTGAAGGCTTAAAAATCCTAAATTTCCCGGGGGAGCATTCCCCCGGACCCTCTCAAAATCTATCGGTAAAACTGGGCAGACTGAAAAAATACAAGCTGGCCGACGTCGACTCGGACACCCCGGTATTTGTGGACGCACTCGGGGACCAGGGCAGGTGGGAAACACAGGGAACACATACCTTTAATGCATGCTTCATTACATGTAAGGTATACGTAATTTTGTCAGTGATCACCTTTTCTCACAAAGCGAGATACCAAATCCAGTGCAGCTAAAAAATTTACCGTTAAGCGTTATCGGCCCTGCTGAATTTACCGTTAACCGTTGCCAGGACCCCCCCCCCCATGCAGACCCTCTTATGTGAATGCAATGATTGTGTGTGTGTAATTAAAATGAACTTCGAACTTGAAGCACAGTATCTTTACACGCCCTGGGAGCAGTAATGGATTTAGCTCTTTGTATGTTTTATGCTTGTGACGCGCCCTCATTGTATTAACCGTTGCCTAATTATAATGTCTGCACAGTAGGTCTGGCGTTGACGCTTGGGATTTTGTTGAAATATATAAAACTTCACGGAGGATTGTCACCTATGGCTTCTTGTTTTTTTTTCTTCCAAAATCAGGTGAAAATCAATGCGCGCGCTGATGTCATCCATAAAAATTACTTGATGTGGCCAAAAGTTGATTAATTATTTTTTCAATAGACCCTACCTGATAGTTCTTCAAGGCATCAGCCGGCCAGATCGTGAGACAGAGCTCTGTGCCGGTGAAGGAGTCCTGCACACTGAAGGAGTACAGGACGAAGGGGAGGGACGCCACTATGGAGAACAGCCAGGCCACCAGGCAGACCAGACAGGCTCTTGGTGTAGACAGGCGGTGTGTGCGGGTACTGCAGCAGATAGCCTGGCACCTACAGAATGGGAAAAACAACGAAACTTCATTAGGAGACATCACAATTCTCCATAATTTAATCTAAAGAATTTAATAATCCTGGACAGTGTTGACCCTTCATGCATTGCGTATGATGAAGTGTATGATGTGTGATAAGTTGATAACTGTACGTTTTGACAATTCCCACACTCCTAAATTAAATTTGTTGAAAGACAAATTCGGTGCTAACAAATATGTTCACAGGCACACGGCCTGTGGTTATAGTTACTTTACACTACAAATCTACCTCCAAATGCTGTTTACGTAATCTAATTAGCATCGCGTGGACGTTAACGTGTCCACGCGATGCTAACGAGTTTCACTAGCTGAATCCGGCTCGAACCGGTCTCGAAGCCGGATCAAAGCGAATCAATCCGGCTTGATCCGGACAATGTTATCCTAGAGGGAAAAGGGTCACATTGAAATGTTGATCATGACCCCTGACTGTTTCACGTTTTTGGCCCTGTGCTGAGGCAATATAATATTATTCCTCGTCTGGTTGACTTTACATAAACCTACTGAAAAAGTAGAGAATTCAGATCGTCCATGGCAAAATCGTTGACTGAGTCATGTGCATTTGGAGCTTTGTGGTTTTTCATGGTAAGGTCAAAGCAAGTAAATTTTATGCATAACATCCTCCGCAGACTCCAATTCTAATGACAGCGGGCGAAAAAAACAAGGCGGTCCGAAAAGACAAGGTTCCTACAATTTAAAATTTTGACTCAATCATTGTAGGTTTTGATTTAGTAGGAACATCACATATACACAGCCAGTATCACATATCACTGCATCACAGTAAGAAACAAAGCATTAAATCAGAGCCTTTTCTTGTCTCCTCTCTCCATAGGTATCTGCCATCCACCTTCTGGTATGGCAACAGACATCTTTACCCAGTTTCGGCATGTTGACCACTGTCAGAAGGCAACAAAATTTATTGTTTTTTTTTCCCAAATCAGGCGAAAATTAATGCGCGCGGATTGATGTCATCCATAAAAACTACTTGCTGTGGCCTAAGGCATATTTCCAATTTTGACCCAGATGCAGATGCACATTATTGCCGGTGTTCATTACGGTACTGCCTTGTACCGACTATTGTACGGCGAGATGCATTCTCAAGATCTAGCTCAACAAGAGGCATTGCTCTTCGAGAGCTGCAGAAGGTATTGAAACAAGTCACGACTTCTCATTAGCAGGAGATCGGCCTAAGCTCCACGTGTCCGGGCAGGTGAGGCGGCGGGAGAGACGGTTCAATACAGCCGCTCGTTCTCTCTACCATCCCCCCTTCTGTTATCGACAACAAAATGTAACAGAGAGAGATAAAGAGCCTCGATGACTCCAGATAGAGAGCCTCGATGACTCTCACGTTTTCACACACTTGTGTCCTACATCTTGATCCTAAGATAACCAGGCATATTATTGCGGACAATGCCGATGTAATTACGATGAAAAGACTACTTAAGAATACTACTAATAAGAGAATAAGACCCGCAATTAGGTTTCTTTGCTTCCGCAGGCAGGGCAGAGTTTATATGTTGTATATGTGTTGTGCGGTACCTATGTAATTTAGGAGCGCATAGGCTTCTATCATTAACAGCATTTAATTACGTCCAGTCATCAAAGATGAGAAAAGATGGACTCGAGCTCCCTAAGGCTGAAAATAACCCCGCAAGGAGAAACCAGGGCGGCGGTATTAGATCTGCCGACGTCTTCCATGACTTTGATCTGACTGAGTGCTAAGAAATCAAACACAAGTAATATCAGCATACACAAGAAGCGAGTGCTCTTTTTTTCTTTGTATATGGTACATGTAACAGTCACAGATGGTTCTAGCGGGTCAGATTATTCTAACTCGGTTAGGCAAATTACGATAATCTACTTAATTTGTTAAGCCGGCACACAAGTCTGCATAAGAGTTTGCATACAGGATTTGGTAGATTTAGATAGATAGATTTGGTCTAAAAGTTTTGACCTTTCCGTGTTGGATCAAGCGCCTATGCTTAAAAAGCTCCAGTTTATTTGACCCAAATAAACAGGCGTCCGATTTATATATTGCAGTATCTGTCCTGCACAGTTCGTTAAGATATCACAAGGCCTATGGAACACTGTAGCGAAAAGCAGCAATTTGTACATGAATAGTCTTCCAGAATTGATTTAAAAAAAATCACCCGGGAAACAGACTTGGGAAAATAAAGATACTAATATAATTATCGAAACTTTATTCGCAAAATCATGCCCGAAGGCTAATTGCTTTTACAATCAAGTATAATACTCATTACACAGTAACAGGAGACAGGTAACAACTGTCTGGGGAAAAATTTTCTACTTCTACTACTATGCTAACTATTGTGGGGTTCGACTTCTTCTTTAAAGGCAGTGGATAATGAATAGTCTCACATTCTATGGGTTTTGTGATCTTAGTAGAAATGCAGTTTTTTTGGTGATCTTCTAAATGACGAAAGGATGGAGAAATTGTTGTTATTATTAAATATATTCTAGAGAGAAAAAGGAGCTGTGTGTGTGGGAGGGTAAATTATTCCCCAGTTTAATGCCAGGCTTGAAGAAGCGCTATAATGACCATTATCTGTAAGAGCTAGTGCAGATGCAGCAGCTTAAGGACCACTTCAAGGCTTTCATTACCCCTCTTTACAGTTACACCCGCTTGTCCTTGTGACTGGAGCCGCTCCAGCTTGATAGCTGTTGGTCAGTGATGAGCAAGAAAGCACCCCCGCGCTCAGGGTCTACTATACAGCGAACATAACAGTATTTTTAACGCCAACGCCCGCGCAAAGAATCTCCGAGGACGATTTTTCCGTACCACTGAACATGTACATAGACAGCGGCATCTGTATCACAGGTTACCATGGCCTCATAAGTGACATGAAAGAAAAGATCCAGCTTCATTAAGTGATTGTACTTTCGACAGCGAGTACTGCCTTCCTTTAGGCTAAAGAACTAACCGGTTTCAGGTTTGTTTCATGTATACTTTCGTTTGGCGTCCATTTGTTACTTGGGCCATCCGTTGGATAGCAGCGCGTCCCGTTGGCCATAGGTCAGCTAAGATCTATTACCGTTTTATGATAACAGCACTTAGTCTAAAAGTCTATCCTTGGAACAGCCTGGCCAGATACCAGATTCATATCTTTCCTTGTGTCTTTTCAGAACCTTCTAAACAGCACGTTTTCAATGCTACCTTGTTGCAACATATGGCCATTTGCGGAACTTTGGACCTTTTTTTGTAAAAGAAGCTCTTGATATTCAGCAGTATATGTTCTAAAACACTGCAACTATCACACATTTTTTTTTGCATTCCTGTCGCTATCTACAATCCAGTAAAATGAGGCCTTCGTGCACGTACACGAAAGGAGAAGCGCCGACACTCACCTGTCGATCTCCAGCACGAGGAACAGGTGCGAGGCGACTCCCTGCAGCGCAGCCTTGCCGTACGTGTAGGCGGTACAGGCGGCGCTGCCCCAGTACCACCCGAACGGCGTCACGGCGTGGTACTGGAACATCAGAGGCACGCCGAGGACGACTAGAAGGAAATCCGCCAGCCTTAGATTTGCCTCCACGATGTGCCTCTTCCTTGGCGGCCGGTGGAAGGCCCTGGCCAGGCGGTACGCGTTGTTCGTCCCGCAAACGAGGAGCACCAGCGAGTATACCACAGCGGTGCCAACTTGAAATGCCAGCGGTGCTGAAACGTCGGTTGCCGCCGCGTAGATGTTTTCCAAGTCGGCGTAGTCGCCGCTGTCATTGCCGGCGAACCCGGAGCCGAGCGAGACGTTGGTGACGCTCTCCATCCTAGCTGACGGCGGAATGACGACTCCTTTGGAGTTAGAGCAAGAAAAGGCCTACTTGCACCAATTTCACATTTCCCATAATGCCTAGTAAAGATCACGGATATGACGTAATGCGATTGTGTCTTCGGTAGAAGGTAGAACGATAGAAGGTACGTCATCTTCTTTAATTCCAACATTTTAGCGCTTTATATACTAAATAATTCAAAACATTAGTTGACCAGTTTGTCGATAGAACTTGTTGAAAATATTACATCGATGAAGGGATAGGGGTGGTCTTACGTCATATCCGTGATCTGTACTAGGCATTGTGGGACGTGTGAAATTGGTGAATGCGCGCCGCAGCACGTAACACGTGTTTTGCTCACACGTGCAGTACGTCTTCTAGCTCCATCACAATGGGCTTCATTAGACGGTGAGCATCCACGTCTTGTGCAGAGGCGTTTGCAATACCCGTAATGACTCCAGCAATCTACTTCGCTTGTTTCTTTTTCAACAGGAAATCACTTCTGTTCTAAAAACGAATAGCTTGTTGCCGTGATGTAAAGAGAGTAGAATTCATGACGAGCCCAACAACAAAGAGGATTGTTACTTTTATGACTGGCTTGTATCTCTGCAGGCAGACACGTAGCTAGCATTAGGCCTAGGTGTACAAAGGCCTCAAAGAACATTCGTGACAGAAAAGATGGTATGTAGTAGTACTAGTGTTCAAGAGGAGGACAAGCACATGTAACAGTAGGACTACTATTTTACTTCCTATCTGAGTAGACGTCCCATTCCGAAGCTAGGTGATGTGCGTGGATTTTTCTAGGGACTTAATATCAGTATCTTAGGCCATTTTCATCCTTTTCGACCATACTCTAAGTCGGTCGTACAAAATGAGCGTATATATGCCGTATGTTAACGTTGCAAAAAAAGGATTGAAAAACGATATCAATGTCATAGAATGCCGAAATCAATTCAGAAAAAGAAGAAAATGTGAAGAAATGAAAATAAAAAGTTTATTATTATTTGCCATACCATACTCTGTGTGTAGTCATTTGTTTGACCTTTATGACCACGTAGATTTCATAATGAAGGAAACTTTTTTGGCCAATTTTTTTTTATTCGCACGCTCGCGTCAGTTTTGGGGGTTCCCAGAGGATGTCATCCATAGAATCAAATCAACATGGCCTCAATTGTAAGATTTCAGCTTTGTTCCAACACGAAAGAACAGTCACCATGAATTGTCAGTCGACGTCATCGGCCTTCATTAGATGTCCAATTCACTGCTCTGACCTTCCGGAATCCGGGGGTGTGATGACGTAAGCATCCGGAGTGAAACAAAAGCGTCCGGAAGACGGTATCTACATCCGTAACGCCCACGACCCTCTATAACTGACCAGTATGAAACCTCCAAAAGGGGTGAGCTTTTGGACCGTTCTACGTTGACATTTTGTCGTCTTGTGCCCACTGTGTACAGTGTAGCCTAAATCTGTTACTACAAATCGGGTAGGCAATTCAACACAATTCAAATGAGCAATTTTAGAAAAAAATATTACATAAATACCACACGCCAGTGCATTTATTTTTGCAAATAAAAGATCCCGATAAACATTGTTCATACTAAATTGTATCAAAAATCTATCAGATCGTGTAAAATTTGTATCCTAATGTTTGAGTTTGTTACCATGCATGATTATATAGAAAAGAGACACAATATCAACAAGAACAACAAAATCGCATAGTGATGCTTTTATTTGTTTTAAAACAGCACGAAAATTTGCAAGGTACTTGAAGCTCTTGATTAATTGATATTACAAATGATAAAGAAATTACAAATGATAAAGAAATTCAAACTGGCCTTGTTGAATAGTGATATTACTGGCACCCAAAAGTTATGCTACAAAGCAGTGTTTCCCTTGTAAAAATGCTGCGGTAATTTCAGAAAGCAATATAAAATGTGTTCCTCCAGTCCGTCTCGGTCGGTTCTGGTACTCGGTTCAGGTTCTTACTTCTGCTGCAGGTCGCGGACGTACTCACGCAGCTTCTGCAGCAGTTCGGCAATCTGTAGAGCAAATATAAATAAATAAATAATGAAATAATGAAATACCTTTATTGTACGTTCATACCACGACGGGCTAGGTACAGGTCAAGACTTAACAGACACATAACAAACGTATGTAGAAAAGTGTAGACAAAAAATACACTGCTTAACTTAGACATACATACATAAGGAGCATACAAGGATACTATACTGGGCTAATACAAAGTGTTCTAGGTACTGAGCTAATACAGAGTGGTCAACTTCTTGTCGCTTTTTTGTACAATAGAAAATATGGGAACAGATCATGGTTGTGATACAGGGTTTGTCTAGACGCATCAAAAATATAAATTTATCGTTTGCATTTAGGTGTTCGAAGTATGGGAAATTCTCTTTGATATGATTAAAAAGGACAGATCTTTCTTTAGAATATAAAGTACAGTCTAAAATAAAGTGTTGTTCATCTTCTATTCTATTCATGTTACAGTCTATATAATATAGATTTGTGTTCATTTGCTCATCACTAATCTCCAAGCAGATTACTCTCCAAGCAGAGGTTGTAGGGGAATGATCGTTAGCTTTTTATATATGGCAGTTTTTTATGTCGCTAATCCGACCTTCTCTGGCTAATGGATACTGCCTGGACAATTTGATACTGTCTTTTTTTTGCCACCGAAAGGGATCTGCTTGGAGATTACAAGCATGCAGATCCTTTTCGGTGGCAAGACAGTATCCTATGAGCCAAAGGAGTTTGTACGGCCACCGAACTCCTCATGCAAATGGATACTGCCTTGCCACCGTGTGATCTGCTTGGAGATTCTTCATTTATTCTTTATCATTTATTCTTTATTTCAGGTGAAAAACAACATAAAACACAGTACATCATTAAAATAATACAAAACTCTAGGAAATACAATTTTAAGTGTTTCGGACGAAAAAGTCAAAGGCATCACCATGTTATTTATTTATATCACATATGTGAATGAGAAGAGAGCACAGGTATCAGCTGACGTTCGAATATATGAAAAACTTGTGGGCTTTGAATACATGTAGTTGTTGGCTTATATAACGTCACAAAGACACTTGTAAGGCCTCACCTCGGTGTTCTTCTTCGAGGCAGCCAAAGACTTCTTTGCCTCCACTGGAGACTCAACTGCAAAAAAAGAAAACCATAGAGATAGGTCATCATATAGAAAAAATCAGGAAGATTTTGATAAACAAAAGGACTATACCGTTTCTGTCAGATGAATACCTCTCTCTGTTGACTATTTCCCATCTAAAATACACACAATAAGAGACAGATAATACATTTTCTTGCTATATTAGCCTCCTGTAGGTAGTGTAGTGATTATTTATTGTGATTGCGTACAATCAAAGATATAATCATCACAACGTTTTGTATAGTTCTCTTTTATGTGTAGTGCTGACATCATTACTGCACTCAAAGACTTGAGAGCACCAGAGTTCACATGAAACAATTATGTCATTAGTTTTTGGTTTGGGACTGTCCTTGGTACTGAAGTGACTTATCCATTTGAAGATTTTGTCTGTCACCACGTTTTGTACTTTGATTCTTAGAAAACTGCTGGCTTCTTATGATTCTACGTCAAACAGTTCACTACTAGGGTGGTACATTTTGTAAAAACTAGATACTTATCATTCAAGGTCAATGCAGTATTTGTATGTTTTTATGATTATCATTTATAGTCAAGACGTTTTAACCGACGTGTAATTCCATATAATTATTTGTAATTGTATGTAATTTGTGTACGAGTCCTGGAAGATTAGCCCATAAGAGACTAAAGGGGCATCTCAATAAACTGAACTAAAACTGATACAGATATCTTAGTGTGGGGTCTCGTGGCGTAGCTGCAGAGTGCTCGACTCGGAATTAAGAGGTCCCGAGTTCGAGTCCTGACATGCCACCGATCTTGTGCCCTTGGGAAAGGAAAGGCAATTTACACGACTTTCCTCACTTCGCTCAGGTGAAAATGAGTATTGTATTGTCCCCTGTGTTGGTGGCGGCATTAATATGAGTTGAAAAAAACTTGAGTGTGCCGTCACCACGTCTTGTGATTAGATGTTGGAATATAAAAAATGTATCTTACCGCCGAGAGCCGCGGACACGCCCGTCACGGCCTCTCCGTACCCCACCATGTGCCCGGCATGGCGGGACCCTTTCGCAGCCACGTCCGTATGGATCGCTGAAAAATAACGATAAGACAATGACAATGACAATGAAGTTTATTGCATATTCATGCCCGCCAGTGGGGCTAAATGCACTAGTTTAGTTACAAATGAGGATTAGTAGTAGATATGCTATGTTCTATCTATATCTAAGCTGTACATGTTTCTTCATTCTTCTTTCTTCTTCTCTTAGACATTTGTATACGAATTTACAGTTTTTCTAATACATCATGGTTAACTGAGGACAATATTTGTATGACTATATCATCCTTTGATACCATCCGGATAAGAAGAAGAATGTGATATGGGCAATAAGATCGTTTTAACATAAAACGTTTCAAAACTAAAGGCACAATTCTATTTGAATTTCCCCTCCCAATCCGGAGAAGAGAAACAAACAGGCGTTTTTACCTGCAGGTTGAAAGCGTGCATCAAACTTCAAACGATAAATATATCGTGACAAGACGACTTCAAACCAGCGAAACGGAAAGTGTCAGGTTTAAAGCAGACCATTTGATCAGTTTTTACGCTGTTCTCCACACATGCTAAAGACATGGTTCAGGTTATCAAAGAATAAAATAAAATAAAACAAAATGAAACAAAATGCAAAATCCTTACCATCCTCGTCAATCTCTCCAGCTGAAAAGTTACAGAATGTCTCAATTATTTGTGTCTCAAAATGTCTTATGTCTCAAAAAAAGCAGGTTTGAAACACGACATTATGGAATTTTGAGTACAAAACAACATCTTCAAAATTACAAAACTACAAGAAGGGAGACAGTGAATTACGTTTTTTTTATTGTCAAATCATGACAGTTGTGAAGGTTGTTATACGTTGTCAGTCATATTCAAATTCATAGTAATAGAGTTAAATCATTAATGAATAGACCTTGCTTAAGTAATTTCATACTTGTACCGAACACGTTCAACCATTACAAGCAAAATCAGACTACCAAAACCAAAATCTAACTCTCAGAAAAGGCGTTTTCTGCACAGAATATCACAATTGTGGAATAACACAGGCGGCAAATAGCAAAGTACTGAACTGTAAATAGTGTATTTAAGGAATTGTGTTAACTTTGCTACATACTGTTAACTTTGTTATGTTTTTGTACGTTTGTAATACATGTATGTAGATATGAATGTGTAGACCACAGGAAGAATAGCCTCTTATGAGGCTAATTGTGGATCTAAATAAAACTCAAGCTTCATAGCAACAGTCTTGGTTAAGAGATGATTGTTGGATGCGTTTGTGCATTACTCACTGTCGCTGATGTGCGAACCGACCAATGGGATAGCATCTGTCATGGCCATCCCGTATCCAGAGAATGCAATGTCATCCTTGTCCGCTAGGGTTTTAGTGTAGCCTGTGAAACGAACAAAATCAATGTCAGATGTCTGAAATGCTAAGTATACTTTCGGATAAAATGTCGAAACTAGTAGTAAATACTAGTAGTGGGTTGTCTTTGCAGCCAACGATACCAACGCGCTCTCCTTCTCTCTCTTCCCCCTCTCTCTCCCTAATTTACTCTCTCCCCCCTCTCTTTCCCTCTCTCTCCTCT